GCAGAATATGATCGCTGACGATGATCTCGAATAGCTTCGATGCGGCAAAAAGGCTAGTTATTCCACGGTAGTTTCGGACATCTCACCGGTCACCGCTTTTGTCCACAGGAAACATGTAAGACAGTTTCCAGCTCATGGGAAATTCTCCTTGCTCGAACGAGTGGTTGAAAATTAAGGCTAACGGCTCAGCTACTGCGTTTGCTTGCACAGCGACGGAGAACAACAGCAGGAATTCCATCCGGGCCAGGAGCAAATGAACTCTTCTACACGGTTAGAAAAAAGTACCCAAAATTAAGTTCTTTTCACTCATCTCGGCACAATAATGCAGGAACCCAAAAGTAGGTAAAGCGGTTCAAAGTAATTTTCATTTACTTGTGAGCAGTTCGTATGGAATTTTCCACTGGCTTTTTAACCAAAAGTAAGTTAGTTGTACCCAACAGTAGGTAACTATGATTATACTCAACGTTGGGTTCCCACACTTTACTACCCCCTGTTGGGTGGTTTTGCTCCTCCGTTTTTGACAACATTAGAAGGAGAAAAGGACAAACTAGGCAAAAGTAGGTAAAAGTGAACTGGCTGTTGGGTACTTTTTTCTTACCGTGTACTTTTTTGAAGCACCGATAATCATTGCATGCAATATTTCAAACGTGTCCAGATCAACTGCGTCCAGCAATATGTTTGACGCAGTCAGTTCGGCCTCTGCGTCGGACGATGACTCTGATTGGAGGACTGACGCAAAAAGTGTCGCGAAGAAATCACACGCTTCTGCTTCGCTCTTGAACTCCCTGCCGTCTTAGACCACATTGGGCGTAACTGACGGATTTTTCCTCTTGCTATTTACGAAGCTCCAAAAGGATTTTTGATCCCGACGTAAACCCAACTGCCACCCGTAGAAAGTGTGATTTGTAGAGTGTAGCATTCAACTTTCGGTAGGCATCACTCGCTCGTTTGAAACTAGCTTTTGTAAATGAGGATTTATGGGCCCGCAAACGATGCTGTTTTGATTTTCGAAGCAGAGGCGTACTCCAAGGAGGTGAGACAGGTTTTCTCTTTATATGTACGTTTGTGTTCAACCATTGACGGATAATTTGGCAGAAATTTGAGGCCATGTCATGGATATCCACACTGTCGTAGACACAATTCCAGTCTAGGCCAGACCGATGAGCAATAAATCCGTCGAAATCGGTTTTGCGGTAGTTGAGTGCTCCTTCGTGTTTAATCGCGACCAGGAGTGACATTCGGCTGGAACAGTAATGCGAACGCTGAGAGGGGGGTGATGAAGATCTACTGGCAGCAGAGATTCCTCAGCAACAAATACCACAGCACAACTGCTCTCAGGTACGAAAACCAAATCGAGAGTGCGACCTAAATTATTCAGCTGTACATTAACTTGATTCAGGTTCAAGAATTCCATACCATTGATTAAAGCTGTACACGCCGGAGTCAAAAGAGTCGAATTTTTTAGTCGAATGCCATTTTCAACTATTGACCAAGCCAAACGAGACTGATTGTAATCACCACACACGAAGATAGTGTCATCCTGAGAAGCGTTTTCACAGAGTTCACGAACGGTGGCAATGTGTTCTTCAATCAGATCGGGAACGGCTATTGTCCGGTGAAATGTAGATATTACACATCAGAAGTCGACGACCACGAATCTTAGCAGAGACACACACCTGCTCTAGTCTTCTGCTGTTGTGCATGTTAATGCGTGAGCTACCATGTCGTGCTTCAACAGCTTTAAGCACACGCTTGTCGCTGTTCAAGTGGCATCGGTCACAACGGAAGACGTTTCACGATGTTCCGAAAATCTGCAGGGAATTGATACTTTCGTCCAATTCTGTCTCCGTCAGCATAAGCTATCGTTCGTCCAGTTTAGTCCTCAAACCTTTCACGTTTTGGTTATAAATCCAGGCAGCCCCATCGATAGCAGTTGAAGCATGCTGCAACATAGGGTGAATGAGTGTTGGGATAAAAGAAACTGATATAAAATACTCGCCTATGATGGGAACATGAGGGTTCCCACCGTCCAAAGAAGAACGCGTTGAAACAGTGTTTATGGCTGCATTGCAACTTCCGGTGTTTTAACGGATATCGACGTCTGCTTTAGACTGGAGGGTTCCAAAATGTTTGGGTAGAGTACTCCTCAAAATCACGAAACAAGATGCCTTCCGGCCATGTCGATGTTGTCCAAAAAATGTCTTTAACTACAAAATTAAAATCAGACAACTTTCCATCGAGAATGAATTTGAACGAATAACTCGGAACAAATTTGTAACTTATTTCAATACCACTTTTTCTGATGATGATCGCGATCGATAATATTTTTCATCCTTCCCTGAATTTACAAGAAAGCATATCAAAGTGGAGGACAGTATGGTCAAAGATGAATACTAAGATGAAACAGTCGGAGGAAAGACTTTCTATTTTAGTGTCCTCTTTCACGGTCCCTTTCATCCAATGAATATCCCCCGTATGCAAGGTAATTTTGTGGTTTTGCTTCCCCCTCGGTAGAGATGAAATTTTGCGCTCTTTTTTATCAAAACAATCACACCAAAATCAGAGATGTCCCATTTTTTAAATTATTCGATTAACATCTAATCGATTATTTTTTGTTCGCTGTGCTGTCATTTTTCCACAAATGAGAGTGCAGCATATGTTTAAAACGATGGTTGATGATCCTCTGGTGAGGATCTCTCTCCCTCTCCCTCTCCCTCTCCCTCTCCCTCTCCCTCTCTCTCTCCCTCAGCTAACAAACAGAAATTTTGCCGTGCTCTCAGCTAACAAACATATTTTTTGCTGAATTTCCAGTAAAATAAAATGCCGAGCTGCTCGGTGGTGCCCATCTCGGCAAAAAAATCTAAGTGTGTAGATAACGTTATAGGAAAGCATGATTCACGCAAATTGTGCTCGTAAATTCTAAAACAACTAAACCATTTTTTAACTGTCCATTGCGGGAAAGTAAGAATGGTTTTGAAGGCATTAAATTTGTTGCCACCTTGCCGCATTTAATGTTACAAGATTGGAGCTTAAATATGTTATTGATCACCAGCGCTGCTAATGTTTTCGGCAGTTTCAAGAACTAGATCGCATTGCAGGGGGTTGAATTACACACGTTCAAGCCTACCAAGTTGACAATCTTATGTAGTTGTGGTGCCTTCCGAAATGTTCTAGCAATGAAAAACAATGCAGAATGAAAACTACTGCAGGCAGAACCCTGTGATTGTTGTTGCTCATCAGCACGCCCATGGGCTCTTGCCGAATAGCAAGTTGCTTAGTGTCGTCATGAGAAAACCGTTGACCTAACCGAAACCCCTTCTACCGCGAATAGAATTTTAGAAATTGAGCACTGGCCTTACAAGAACTGATCGGTAGACCACCCTTCGCATCGAGGCCTCTTGAGACAAACTAGTTCAACCGAAGGGTGACTTCAGAGATGCTTCTGCAAATGACCGGATCGTTGATGATGGGTATGTGCATGATGTCGGACTCACGGAATGGAATGTAATTACATTGATATGTTCCTATATCCTATACTATTGCGCTAAGGCAACCGTACATAGGTCCAGATATGATGGAATATTTGAGGCTACGAATCGACATCCCTATAAAATCCTGTGGATTTCCCATTGAAGACCGTACCCAATTGAAACCAATGACTGTCAAGAATATCTGACGAAAAACGGAGGGAAAACGAGAAAATTTACTTCCCGAAAGACCCTTGGAAAGATTGAGTTTTGAACTAGCACGAACTAGGGTAGACAACGTTTGCATGTATTAGTTGTAATTATTAGGGTGGCCATCTTTCCCCGTCTACCCCTATTGAGCAACTAACATTAATTCATTTCTCCGTGAGTGTGTATGAGAACATAAACTCAAACCTCATATAACGAGCATGCAATCGTTATTAATTTCATTATTTCGGAAAATTAATATTTTTCCTAACACCCCACCCCTGGACTTTTCATAATTTTCCAATAATCTAATATTTCCGACATCATCAAGCCTAATCAAGTTCAACTGCTAACCTTCACCGAAAATTCTCCACCGCGGCGCATCATCAACGAGTCGCTTTGAACTTATAGCTACCGGTCGCCGTGATGGCCAAATAGTCAGTGCTGGTAGGCGAAAACTTCCCAGAAAATTGCCATCCCGACGGCTTCAAAGCAAACTAACTTTTCCACCGAAAACCAGCCGTTTTTACAGCCGTTTTACGTCCTAACCAGCACCAGCAAACACGGGAACACATTTTACCTGCTGAGCCCACCGCCGCCCCCGGCTTGCGCCATTTAATCCGCTTAATTTTATTTAACCCAATTTATTTAGGCAATTACCCAAACTTTTGCTCATCTTATTAAAATTTAATCGAATGTGATCAACGAAAACAACAAAGGATAAAATAGACGATCCCGACGACGTTGAGGAGTGTTAAACATTCCGGTGTAGACCGCCGACCCAAACCCAGGCCCAAGAGCAGCACGCTCGGTGAAATGAAAAAGCGGTCCGTTTCGTAAACTTTGATAACGCAAGCCAGAAGCACCCGTGCATAGGAGGAAAAAGTCGTTACAAGATTGTCGGAAGTGCTGTTGTGTGGTGTCGTCGTGTGCTGAGGGTGAAAATTGAGTAAAAATTAAAACAAATTTCCCGACGAAATGGTACTTGCGAGAGGAGGATGCCCGGGAATCCAAGCCACACGATGATGGTGGGATACAGGTGTCAGCATCGGAAAAAAATGTCACCGTTGTAAAATAAAGTTATTTTTACGAGAGTTTTTCGTTGCGACGATATATAGGACTACAGGCGTACTTCGTGTCTGGCTTCGATGTGATGGCGGGTTTAGTGGGTTGTTTAATATACTGAAATTGCTGTTTTACGAGATGAGTGTTGGAAAGTTCGGTAATTCGATTTTGGCGTTAGTGTCGTTTAAATACATGGGGAAGGATTTCTTTTCTGTTCCAAGGCGAGAGCATCGACGGGGTTTTACTGTGAATTATTTTTTTAACATTTTTCCAAGTGCAGTAATACAATTTACATCAAGTCGTGTAGTGTAATATCTTTCCGAACAGCATTGTTGAAACCTTCCTTGTAACGATACCAGATCGGACTTTTGACGATTGTATCTGTTCCACCTGTATGATGAAGGAAAATAATTAACACAAATGTAAAATCTATAGAAAAACTACAACACATACCTTCTTGAACGGACAGCATTGTTTCCTTCGTAGTTATTCGACCGAAGAAATCCTTCGATATCTGGAAACAATAAAACAGGATATTATTTTACAAAACCGATCAAAACGCTATTATCAGAATCGATAGCCCGAACTGGTTCGATTTCCCAAGTAATCCACTGGAAAGATGAGTAAGTGCACCCCTAATCTCAAATATCAATTTTAGTCATGAAACCAATCCTATCAAACCAATCAAAAGTAAGATTGGATCTATCTTTCCGTTGTGGAAAACGGATGGGTACCTACATACCAGGAAGCAGTCTGTACCCGAATGAAGAAAATTCGGAAAAACGTGGAAGGACAAAGAGGGCGCGAGAGCTGCGATCTATCAGCCGTTCAATCAAACTTTTCTCCTATACTCACTCCCAGCTTCATTTCGGTGGCTTTGCTCGCTTGTTCCCGGAAAGCACACGGCGAGCGATGCAATCAATCTGAATAATAAAAATATTTCCTAAATTGATCCTTGATGGCGTATAACTCTGCAACGCGCGGTGATGGTGATTACCTTTTTCGCTTTCTGCTGGCAGCAGATACCTGCACAGAAGCTTGATAAAGTTTGTTCTGTTCCAGAGTGGAGTTTTCTCGTTGGCTCCTGTTGTATTCTATTAAAATTCGCAAGCAGCGTGATATTGGAAAATGGTCGATTCTTTTTGCGAGGGGGTTCTTTCTTACATAAGCAAGCCAATATTGAGAAGCTTGATTGATTGTTCATGAATTGTTTAACATTTGCTATGCATAAAGTACAAAATTACCGGAATACTTTTAGGGTGACGAAGAATGTACACACCAAATGCAGTTGGTATTAAATCTAGGTAGCGTCACAAATTACCAGTTTACCTATTACAATAACGGTACTGCCGAAGATCAAATCTTTGTAAGGCAACTGTTGGATGAGCGTTGGTGAAAGGGAAAAATAATATAATCAGTTGTATATGTATTGAAGTCCCGTAAGCATAATTGCCGCTGTGTTAGTGTTTATTTTGTGCACTTCTATCTTTGCACAGTTTAAAGAGAAGAGAATAAATTGGCACGTATAGGCTACGTCGCATTTGAGTTTCTCTCTGAATTGATTGAATCTTGGAGAGCCGTCATTCGTTGTATACCTACCAACACGCACACATCGAATTTTTAAATTTTTAAATTTTCTCACTACCATGTCTGCATTTCATTCAAAAAGCCTCAGCGCATTGATGGAATATTGTTCATAGCATAGTGCAAAATTAAATAAGAATCATGGAACAGGATATTATTGATTACCTCCTGAAAAGACCGTTTGCCAGAAGATCCATGGAGGAATAAATGCTTATTGCGAGAATGGACGTCCCACGATCAAAGTTGGACAACTTGAAAACGACATGTAAAAGAAATGGTAAAATCATAACGCGGAACTTTGCCGAAAATGGACAAGTGGAAATTGTTGGTTGTGTCATGCTCGAGGAAATTGCGCGGGATGTGGAGCATTTCGAGGTAATCGCGATTGGCATCAACTCTACGCTACTGCTTAGGAAGCGGTGAGTAACGATGACAAATATCATAAACATGAGACTTAAAAAGAAAATCAATGTTTCTATGCAAGAGTAAGCAAAACTGGAAGCAGAACTGTTTCCCATCATCATTTCGTTTATTTTTTTATGCAGGTACCCCCGTCGAAAGATTTGTATCCCATTTTTTTTATTATGCATCAAAATTGGCTTCTACTGTTACAGACAAAATATAAATAAAATAGGTGCACAACTAGTGAATTTTCTCACGTGACGCCACTGGAAGTAAAGCCGTTGGTCCCCGGTTCATGAGTTGATGAGTCGATAGATAGGGTCCAGGTATAAGAGTTGCCTCCCAGGCTTCGGAAGCATTGGTGCTCTGCACGGAAAACAAATCAAGGAAAAAATAATTCAATTGAGTGTAACCTACACATAAACGGAGCTCTGGTCGACATTCCAACCGGTCGACTTCTGCCAAACCCGATGTTGACCCGACATTGACCCGACATTGACCCGACATTGACCCGACATTGACCCGACATTGACCCGAAATTTGAAACGGGCTCACCGTCGTTTCATAAAGAACCCTATTTGTGATTTAAATTTGCGCCTTCGTGGTAGGCAACCAATGTGCTCGAATCAGTAATGATGGGTGTTAAGTGGGTGGGGTTTACACGTCAGTGATCAAAAGGTTAACTTACCGATCAAATCGCGAAGAAAATTTAGAATATATAATTTTAGAATCAAGAAATCAGAACCGGAATAAAAACGGAAAATAGGAAAATTGAGGCTTCTGGATCAAGAAAGAGCACCCGCTCGATCTTTCCCGTTCAGACCGCCGAACAGTAAAGTCTACATTTTAACAAGTGAATATCGAAGCTAAATTTGGAGTGATGGTTAATCAATTGAAAAGTAATTTAAAAGCAAGAAGTGCAGTGAATTGAATTGAATAGTAATTTATAGTTTTTATGTATTTCCAGAGTTTATTTAAAGTAAATTGATAAATTAAGAAAAAATCGTGAGTCGTGAATAACTTGAAAATCCTGTAAAGTAAGCGCGTGGTGAATTTGATTGCAGTATATAAAACTAATCATAAAATTTTAATAGGGAAGAAAACGTGAGTCCAAATAAAAGAACTGATAAGAAATCAGACATTGCAGTTAAAAAAAAACGTGAGGTAATTGCTGGAAAGTCGTTTATTTCGTGTTTGGGGGTACTAATGTGAATTCATCCACAGTCACCACACGTGAACACGTGCACCATTGGGGTTTTGGTGAGTGCGTTTCGTGGAGATTGTGCGGGCTGGAAGTTTCTCCTAGCTACGGCTTCAACAGCATCCAAAAACTATCCGCGTGCTATCGGTGAGACTGGGGGCGATCCCCTGGGACTATTCTTCGCCTCGCGGCTGCGTGCCGCTAAGAATAGTTGCAGAGAGCGTGGTCATCGGTGAAGGAAGTTCGGCCTCGCGAGCACCACTCCGCTACAACGTGGTTGCCACAATCCGCGAGTAATCTGTACGGGGAAAGCTTGCCACCGCCAGAGAGAATCGCCCAGACTCACGTCCCGGGTAGAAGGTATTGACCAGTCCCGATCAGAGCCCAGCAATCAAGTGCACATCTCCGACGTAGCCTGAAGAAGCCGCGAATCACTTTCCTGGTGCTAGAGAGCACCGAAGTCCCGCTCCGTGCGAACCGCATGGGCCTATGAGTCGGTATTTCGCCGGCCTGTATCAACGAAGTTTCATTCACCATCGGCGCCGAAGGCCGCCCCTTCCCGGTGCCATCGAACGCTATCTGAGCATCCAAATTGTGTGGTGGGTACACTGCATGGTCCCTGAAGTCGGCACTCCGCCCGGCTTGCATCATTGTGTGACGAACCGTCGTCGGAGGGGGCGTCAGCAAAATATCCGCCCACAGGAAACTGGGAGTCCCCTTCCTGAAGAGCATTCAAGTCGTCCGTCCGGGCAACCCGCACCCCTGAGCGTCGAACGGCGAGGACGTCGTTCTCGGTCAACCAGCCGTTGGCCGACCAGGTAACCTCCGATCAACGACGAGTCCTGTAAGTACCTGAACCGCTTTTTAGTACCCACACGAACACACCCCACCACCAGCATTAGTAGGGCAAACTATTATATTAGTAGGGGAAGAAATGGGGGGAATCTATTGCAAGTAGGTTGACCCACGTTCAGGGAACACACTTACTGAATGACGTCACCCGTTAGGAGAAAGTAGGAAAAGGGAAGGTTTTAAGGAAATCACCATGCAAACATAAATCCAACTTTTATAGACTTTGGAAATCAAAATTTAAGCGTTTCAATTAAACCATTTTATTGCATGAGAAATAAATCGTTTTCTATTATTTTTCAATCAAAACTTTAAATTTAGTTTCAATTTATTGAATCGGAATACCTACTATAATTCGAATTTAAGGAACTCTTGGGATTGGAAATTGGGAAGGAAGCTTTGGAAGGTTTTGGGACATTATAGGAGGTGGATTCCGTTGTGGGGTTGAAAAAGAGCTAGCTGGGCAATCCAACGTCTGGCGCATAAGTCGGAATTTGGAGGCCCTACCAGGATCCTCCTTACACATTGACCCGACATAAACACAAAATTGATCCGACAACAACACAACAATGGGTCGACATCGACCTTAAATTTGACTTACATTGATCCGACATCGGGTCGACTTGCCTGTTCGGGACCATTTTGCTAGGTTTCTTCCATACTCAACTGTCGTATATCAAATGATAGTGAGTTACTCAACTGACAGTGACGATGAGCTTCGAATGAGAAAGGGGCTTTTCATGGCGAGATGGACCGTCACACGGTCTAAGCCAGGGAAAAGAGGAGCAGCAAAAAAAAAGGGGCTTTTCAAATTATGGTCATGTGAAAATTCGTTTTCACAGAATTGATTGAATGGTTGTATTGGTTCATCTTCAACCAAATGATATGAAAATTAACAGCACTGCCGAACACTACTGGGCCGAGTGGATCATTAAACCGAATTTTATAAAGTGATAGTTTGAACTTTTGATCTTGAGATTGAACTTTAAGAATAAGAAATGAGATCAACGGAATAAAAATTTGAAATCTTGGACTAATAACAAGTGAAAATTGTCAATGCAAGGCCAGTTTTTAACTTTCTTGAATTTCGTAGCTTTCAAGATCTCAGATTAAAAACATAAATCATGAATATTATACCGCATTTCACCAAAATGTCGCAGTATATTACAATTTTATCTAAACATACATTTTTCCCATACACAAGTGGTTAATACCTACTTTCATGTAGAATTCAATTCAAATTATTTACAATTTATTATTATTTAAAAAAAATTATGTAAAAAGCGACTCCAGTGTATTATCGGGACAATGAGTAGAACTCAAGGGACTTCTATAGCAACTCTGCAGGAATTTAAGGAAGCATTCTGTAGGAATTCGGAGCAGGATTTAAAATTAATTAACCCTACGAACAAACTTAATGATGATATGGATACAATTCATCATACTATCCCTCACCTACTCCTGAAAATCTCTTAAATGTTAATCAATCAATCACTCAATCATAGAATTCTGATGAGAGCTTAAATTGAATATCGATAATAATTCCAAATGAATCGAATCCTAAATATAGCTAAAACAAAATTGTTTGCAGAATCTCAAGCTAGTTTAAAACAAAAAATAAGAGGAAGCTTCTTAGAGATAAAAATTCCAAGAGATTAACTCAACGGAATTTTGAGAAAAATTTCAAATGGATTCGGAGGAAAATACTTTCTTAATTCTAAAGTGTCTACCCAGAGGCACATTCGAAGGGAAAGTTAAGAAAAGCTGTGAAGAGAAATTGAATCATTTTTTTTCTGGAGTATTCTGGAGAGAATACTCCAGAAAAGTAGCTCGCCCACTCAAGGTCACGGTTGATATTGCAAAGTTCAACAAAAAATCATGTGTCTAAGGCATAGAAATTATTTTTCACACTGAAATCACTGGAGAACACTGGCGCGGCAACCATAGTACGGTGATAGAGGAAATGCTTCACCAAACCTGAGCGTCTGTTCATCATGGAGGTGCGGCTCAAAACGGCGTCTTTTCTCCATATTAGGAGCGGCTGATTACCGTCCTAGTGCCAGCGTGGGACTCTAAACAGAGCTGTGCACGATGGTCCCCCGGCGAGACAGGAGGTTGGCAGGCCCAACAAGCCGCCCTGGAAAAAAAACAAAGTTGCAAATACTGAAGAAAGAAATACGGATCGGAACAATCGGCACAGACCTACGCAACGAAATAAGAACTACGATTGGAAACTCGGAACATGGAACTGCAAATCGCTCGGCTTCCTGGGTTGCGATAGGTTAATCTATGACGAACTTCAACCACGCAACTTCGAAGTCGTAGCACTGCAGGAACTTTGCTGGACGGGACAAAAGGTATGGAAAAGCGGGCATCGAGCGGCTACTTTGTATCAGAGCTATGGCACCACCAACGAGCTGGGAACCGGCTTTGTAGTGCTGGGTAAGATGCGCCAACGCGTGATTGGTTGGCAGCCGATCAACGCGAGGATGTGCAAGTTGAGGATTAAGGGCCGTTTCTTCAACTACAGTATCATCAACGTGCACTGCCCACACGAAGGGAGACCCGATGACGAGAAAGAAGCGTTCTATGCGCAGCTGGAGCAGGTGTACGACGGCTGTTCGCAACGGGACGTCAAAATCGTCATCGGCGACATGACCGCTCAGGTAGGACGGGAGGCAATGTATAGACCGGCAATCGGGCCAAATAGCCCGCATGCCGTATCGAACGACAACGGCCAACGATGCGTGAACTTTGCAGCCTCTCGGGGTATGGTAGTTCGAAGTACCTTTTTCCCGCGCAAGGATATCCACAAAGCCACCTGGAGATCACCTGACCAACACACAGAAAACCGAATCGATCACGTTCTAATCGACGGGAAATTCTTCTCCGACATTATCAACGTCCGCACGTACCGCAGTGCGAACATAGATTCGGACCACTACCTAGTTGCAGTATGTATGCGCTCAAAACTCTCGACGGTGCATAACACACGTCGAAGTCGAACGCCACGACCCAACATTGAGCAACTACGGGACGCCGGAGTTGTCCAGGACTACGCGCAGCAGCTGGAAGTTGCACTACCAACGGAAGAGCAGCTTGGCGCAGCTTCTCTTGAAGAAGGCTGGAGGGACATCCGTTCAGCCATAGGTAGTACTGCTGCAGCGACACTAGGTACTGCAATCCCGGACCGAAAAAAGGACTGGTTTGACGGCGAATGCAAACTGTTAGTAGAGGAGAAGAATGCAGCACGGGTGAGAATGCTGCAACACCGCACGAGATTGAATGTGGAGCTATACAGACAAAACTCGGTTTTCCGAAGGAAGAAGCGTCAGCAGGAAGACCGAGATCGTGAGACGATGGAAAATCTGTACCGCGTAAACGACACACGGAAGTTCTATGAGAAGCTAAATAGTTCGCGCAAAGGCTACGTGCCGCAAGCCGATATGTGCAAGGACTTGGACGGCAACCTTCTCACGAACGAGTGTGAGGTGATTGAGAGGTGGAAGCAGTACTATGACGAGCACCTCAACGGTGAAGCAGTAGAAAACGAAGGTGGCACTGCAACAGACCTTGGAGCACGCGCAGAAGACGACAAGCTATAGCAGGTATACCGGCCCCTGATCTTCAAGAAGTTGAGGAGGATATCGGTCGGCTGAAGAACAACAAAGCAACTGGAGTAGATCAACTACCAAGTGAACTATTAAAATACGGTGGTGAATCACTGGCTAGAGCGCTGCACTGGGTAATTGCCAAGATTTGGGAGGAGGAGATATTACCGGAGGAGTGGATGGAAGGTGTCGTATGCCCAATCTACAAAAAGGACGACAAGTTGGATTGCTGCAACTACCGCGCGATCACACTGCTGAGCGCCGCCTACAACGTACTCTCCCAAATTCTGTGCCGCCGCCTGTCACCATTTGCAAGAGAGTTCGTGGGGCAATACCAGGCGGGATTCATGGGTGCCCGCGCTACCACGAACCAAATTTTCGCGATTCAGCAGGTTCTGAAGAAATGCCGCGAATACAACGTGCCCACGCATCATTTGTTCATCGATTTCAAATCCGCATACGACACAATCGATCGAGATCAGCTATGGCAGATTATGCACGAGTACGGTTTTCCGGATAAACTGACGCGATTGGTCAAGGCGACGATGGATCGAGTGATGTACGTTGTTCGAGTATCGGGGACACTCTCGAGTCCCTTTGAATCTCGAAGAGGGTTACGGCAAGGTGATGGACTTTCGTGTCTGCTGTTCAACATCGCGTTAGAAGGTGTGATCAGAAGAGCTGGGATAGACACGAGTGGCACGATATTCAGGAAGTCCATCCAGCTCCTTGGCTTTGCCGATGACATTGACATTATGGCACGGAACTTTGAGATGATAGCGGAAACGTACATCAGACTGAAGGCCGAAGCTAGACGGATGAAGCTAGACATGATTTTTGGTATCCCATGCTATGAAAAATTTCAGAATTCAGACTTCAAGAAATATTCAAATATGATTAATAAATGTTCGAGATACCGGACTTAATTTTTTGAATAACAAAAACTAATTATCATAGGTATAAAAAAATATTTCAATGTTCCAATCAATTTCCGACTATTTTCAGGATGTTTACGATTCTCGGTTAGTTGCCGGATCTCCAGGTTTTCCTAGTTCAGTGGCCACCCTGATGATTGGTCGAAACAATAATGCAAAGATTCATGAAACTCGGAGATGTTCGAACCTGAAATTCATTTATTTTTGCAATTTGGACTAGAAATGCTCTATGGTTCCAAGCAAATTATGGGTTCTTTCCCGATTTTTCTTTATTATTTGCGATTCCCGGTTCTCAGGTTTTTCCTGGTTCAGTGGCTACCATGTATCCGTTTGACAAACAGACTTTTGTATATCAAATTGCCAACCGGCTTTTCACTGTAACAAGCAAGAAACCAAACATATAATATAGATAGGTACTCACCACCTGTTTCACCTTCTCGTTGATCTGTTTCGGCTTCAGCGTTTGCAGATGATTTGGTAGTTCCGCCGTGGGTTTCTGCTTCCGTGGTTCAACCTTCTTGCTGCTCTTACTAGACCTACTTGATCCTTCCTTAATTTCGGTAATTTTAGCAGACGGCCCCTTACTGGCCGCTTTCGGTTGAGCTCGCCGTACCTGTTCCAACTCGACTTCCCTTGCAACGAGTTGCTTCCCGAAGTAGCTCATATTTTGACCAGTTACACCTGGAAAATTACCCAGCTGCTCAATGTCCGGATCCAACTGGTACTGATACGTCCCTTCGGTGGACTTCAGTTGAATGTAATTGAGACCAAAGTCGGCCATCACTTCGACCGTATGCGTTAGGTCGGATTTTTCCCTGTTAGAGAATAATTGCAAAGATGTTAAAACAAATCTTCATTTGAAAGTACGTAACATACTTGGGCGTCAGCAGTTGCAACGACACCGAACGCAATGACGGGCTGATTACACGCTTCAGCAGTGGTACCGTATCCAGCAGCACCGTTGGTCCATCACCAATTCCCTTCAGTTGCGCCGAAAGCCCCTTCCGTAGGCCGGTGAGTATCAGTTTGCAGGTGGCCAGCTTTTGAGAATTCTATTAACGCGCGGGGAAGGAGATAAAATCGAAAAAAGGATTCTTTAGCAAAAAGAGATCAAAAGAAATGAACTGCATAGCAAACGCGGGACAACGAAAAAAAAAAAGAAATTGAATCGCTCTCGCGGATGAATAAAAAAAAGGGGGTAAAGCCCACCCAGCGCCCGTATAGCGAGCGAAGGCTCAAAAAGAAGGTAAATGAATATTGAATAATTAATAGAATCATTTCATGAAACGCTCTCGCCGGGTGGGTTATCTTAATAATCATCAGATTTATTTTCCACGTTTTCGGAAAAGATTGCCCCGGGTGGAATGGAAAAATGTTTTAATTTTAAGTTTTATGAGGCTCATCAAATGTATAGGATCGCATCGGCAAACACCTAGGATAAATCATATCAAAAAATTTCTGCACACCATCTAGAGTTGAGAAACGCGCAAAAATTGTTCCTATAGAAATTCTAACGGGATGAACATGTGTCTGCTATGTTCCCATAATTGCTTGGTAAATTATGCATGTAACGTATGTATGAAACGTTGAACACCAATGTTTGTGATTTTTGACAACAGATGTTCTGTCCATACAAGCATACACTCTGAAAATCTTCACGTCCGATTTACGTGAAAACATAGGTGGTTTTCGTCAACCCTATTTTTTACGTAACTTTTACCGGAATTACACATAGCCGATCAAAATCCAGCTTCGATTGTCTACGTGATTAGTCAGGTAAATAAGACCTGATTTTCACATACTGCTTACCTGAAATCAGGGTGAAAACTACTGGACAACTGGTAACTTTTACGGGACATTCCGTTTTGTTTCAAATGCTTTTCACGTAATTGGTACGTGAATTTTGCATGATAATAATGGAACGTATATATAAAAGCAGTCAATATTATGCAATTTTATCGGGCAGATGAGCAATTCTCTACAGATTGACGATTTTTTTTATTTTTTTTTAATTTGTCGGCTCCGATTTTGATGAAAATTTGCACAGTTGTTCTTTTTTAGTAAAGATGCCAATTTGTGTTATCAGTTCTTCAAATTGAATCACGACTACTTTTCTAACAGGGCCTGTGTAAAAGATTGCTTTTTACCGCATACATCTTAAAAAGTTATCATTGGAAATAAGTGTAACACCATTTGGTTAAAAGGTAAGCATAACCTTCAGTTGTATTTCAATGAAATCATTTTTAAAGATTATTATTTTTAATTTTTTTAATACAGGACGCAACATGAGTGAACGAGCATGTTTTATCAGGTGCATTCGGTCGTTCGAGGAAGTCAAGTGCTCGAAAGAGCTCAGGAATATTTCGAATATTAATTAAAATCGATTGGATATTCTGAAGCATCAGGATTGAATACTGGTTTTCGCATTTGCACGTCCTGTCGTCTTCGTGTTGATAAACAAGCTCTTTTCATCTCAAACGAGGAACAGCATGTTGCCGGAAGCTCAAAGATGCCAACTACAGTGAACATCCAATAAAAAATGCAAGAGAGCTTTATAATTGGGCAAATAATCGAAAAGAAGAAGAATTAACAAAATTATCATTTAGTTTTGCCACAACAGAGGAATACGAATGTATGGCTTCACACCTCAACGAGCAATATAATAATGCAAAAATAATTCAAGGAACTCAAAAGTTTCATTCTTTCATTCCTGTATCAGAAAATAAAATTAAAGCCAAACGATACTCAAACTGTAATGATAATGATGCCAAAATATTCGATGTATTTAAGAAGTTATGTAAATAAAAATAGAAAGTAAGTGTATTACAATGAAAATGTACAATGTATCATTTGTCCATAAGGTTTTCGAATAAAAGAAAAGTAAAAAAGAGCAGATAAATGTATTTTGTGGATTTAAGTTGAGATTTTAAAATAAAAAAGTAGTCGGGATTTGCTATTACAAATTGTAATAGCGAACCCCGACTACTTTTCCGATAGGGCCTGTGTAGAAAAGCGCTTATGAAATAAACATTTTAATACATTGCAAAAACGGCTTGCTTGATTGCTATGGTGTCTTCGGAAAAGTTGTGCAAAATTAAAATGCAATTCTTGAAAAAATATACACGGTTAAAAAAAATGTGTTTTTAATGAAAATGTAAAAATCGTGAAATATTCAAAAAACCATAACTTTTTGTTTTTGAGTTTACCATCACCAAACTTTGCCAGTTAGTAGCAAACATTATGAGCTTCAATGAGGCTTAAAACGAAAATTTTCAAAAATGTACTTTTTGAGAAATTAACTTTTTTAATAATAAATATAATCTTTTTCATTGATACAAACGAAATTTTTTACAGTGTATATTTTTTACACAATTGCCAAAATAATATCTACAACTTTGCTCTAGACCCCAAATCAATCGAACAAAGCGTTTCGGCAATATATATTTTTAAACTCATTAGTACTATTTTTACACAGGCCCTTTTCAAAAAGTAGTCGTAATTCAATATGAAAAACTGAGAGCACAAAATGGCGCCTTTACTAAAAAGGAACAACTGTGCAAAGTTTCAGCCTAATTGGAATTGATCGGTCAGGATCGATTTGCGAACCTTCGTGGAATGCCTCAGATATAGAATCCACGTGTTGAAATTAATGCTTATATCTACTTATAAAATTTTAAATTATTGACTAATTGATTATTATGAGATAGAAACGTGTTTGAGTTTTTTTTTTTTATTTCTTACAAAATTTTAACAACTGTTTGCAGCGAGGTTTGCAGAGTCAAAATGCTGATGCCACCGTCTGAAATTATAAAACTAGAAAAATGCGACATATAAAAGAATCAAATTACCGTCCAATATTTGCAGCAAGCTGCTGGAATATTTTGAATCTTTGAAGTGTTCTTCCACCACGCTCGGTGACGCCATATTGATTTTGTTTGCGTACCTGAAAATCACGTAAATCCCGTTTTGCGGAAATATCGAAGTCCCAAACACACAAACACAAATACACGAAATCTGTTTACGTGAATATGCGGTCGATTTCACCAACATTTTTAGTGGACATGACATACAATGCAGGTCAAAGTTACTAACATCACGTAACATTTTAGATTTTCTGAATACAGATCAGGTACGTGATATTTCACGTAAATCAGACTAAAGATTTTTTAGAGTGTAGTAGTCCCATTTGGAAAAAAAAGCAAGCCGAGAAAAAAACTGTTGAAAATTTCTATACAGAGCTGGAATTAGGGCATAAAAACTTTTGTAAACAATGACTTCTCTCGATGATTTCTAAGAATTTAAGGCACGCCCACGCCAAACCAACATTACTGTCGGGTAGGAGAAATCTTCCCCTACCCGATGGTAATGTTGATTTGCGTTGGTGAGCCTTGCCTTTCTAGAAATCATCGAAATAAGTCGTTGTTTACAAAAGCTATTACGCCCTAATTCCACCTCTATCTAGATGTATTTATCCTTAAACTCTTATGGATGAGAAAACCAAGGTTTGTTATTTTACACCATGTTTTCTGAACAAAACTTGCGACTTTTAGTGCATAATGTAAAATACAGGTAGTTTACAGTCGATTCTACTCGATAACTCATTTCTGATAAAAATCCACTGTTATGCTTTTATGGGCAGTGTTACCTATAGAAATTTTTCGGGTATTGTGCCAATTTTTTGGGAACTCTGAATAAAGCGAATCTTTAAAGAGTTTCGAAAGTTCCGATTCAATATTATTATGAATTATTGTCCATACTTGTTGAAGGTGTTAACAATGTTTGTCGCAATATTGCTTCTATTGAAATTACTTCTCGAATGCAATATTATGTTCCATGCTCAATGAAAAACCAAACTGCGAACAGTTCCGTCTTCACAAAGCTAAAGATAGCAGCGTACCGTTACATTGTCACCAAGCTTCAGCGCGTAACTACCGACAGCGGTACAAAAAGAATTATTTAAAATGGTGTAAATTATGTTTAAACTGTGTGCATTCCATTAACATCATCATCATCCTACAGGACTACAGTGGCAGCGCTCTCGTGTCACGAGCAAAGAGACTCTTTTTCCTACTAGGCATTCCAGGCGCCCCGAAGGCAAAGACGGAAAAGTGCGGTTTAGTAGCGACTGCTGTACGTGACGATGATACGTCCTCATCAGCAGTAAACGAGTTCCCCTTCCCCACTCGCACACACACACACATACACAAACAAACATGATCCACCTCTAAAAGGTTGCGAATTTTCCCCAGCATTGCGGGTGCAAAATAGAATACTAAATTAGAGAGGATTCCACGCAGATTGAATGATGAAAGAAGAAAATAATTAGAAGCGACACAAGATGCAAAGCACTTTTAAGTGCACAGGGGCCCATTCAAAGATAATAACCACCAACAAACTCTTCACCCATTCACCGAAGAAAATAATTACATCCTTTCAGGGAAATATGCTTTCATTATTATAAAACCATATAATAAGTTTTAATAGCCACAGTAATTGATTTCATTCAACACCTCCTTGTGTCCTGCTCGGAATACGAAAATCTAAAAAGCTTCGAAAAAAAAACTCCGGACTCACCTCATATCCCTTGTTGGGGAAATTGATTTTCGGCCAGGCCAGGCTGGCGAAGAGATAGTGCCATACGACGAACCCGTGCGCCAGGTACGGATAGATGGAATAGTTTTGCTGATGATTGATCACCTGTTGGACGCGATCGTTGAAGCAGAACCACTCGCCGGCCTCAGCCACGCCAACCATATTTGGGTCAGGCATTTTCTGGTGCAGATAGTTTTCGAACACTCCTTGCATCAGTCGATCCTGATCGCCTGCCATGTGGATTACATCCAAAATGTTGACCATTCTGGTTGCCGGGGACATGTCTGTAAGACTTACGATGGCGTCGCTGCCGGGGTTATCATCCTGCACCAGGGTCTTCTTGGGACGTTGGATCTGCAATGGCAACGAAGAAAAGGCATATGGTAAACGAAACAGTTTTTTGGCTCTAATATTACTGCGGTTTTTCGGAAACTGACGACACCCAATTTTGGTGTAATGGTATTACAAATAGAGCAAGGTGGGGAAAGACCCATCCAAAGACCTAATATATTTAGTGTATGGTGAGGCAAGATGATTTTTTTTTTTTGCTTATCAACATCAACTGGATTAATGTAGCCCCAATGCTGGTTTGAAAAAGCAACCCATCATTGGCGTTGCATTAAACCTTTTGATTTTGACAACCACCTAACGCTACTATTTTATTTGTTTGTCAAAATCAATTCAATGCAATCTAAATTGCTTTTTCAAACCAGTATTGGGACTACATTGAGCGTGTTGCGCTGACAAACATACAAGCAAGCGTATCAAGCGAAAAGAAAAACTGCCACGAACCAGCTAACGCAACGCTACAGCAACACATTATTAACTGACGATGAATCTTCATTATCTACAACAACAGCGAAAACGAATATTCTATTGGTTTGTAAAAGCAGAAAATCACGCTTAAAAGAATTCCAGGTTTTTCCAGGTAAAAATAAGATTCAGTTTTCTAGATGCAGATTCATCCGCTTAATGGAAAATTAATTCGTCACAGTTGTTCCTAAAGGCATACAGCATAGACTACCCCGACCTCAACTTATTGAATACCGCTTTTTCCTCCGAAATTCGGAAAGTTGCTTCTAACTCAGCAGCATTCGCTTTCAGTGTTTGCTTCCAACGGCAACGAAAAAACAACGAACGAGCTGCTGGTAATGAACAAAGCGCACCGAAACAATAGCTTGTATCAGGTATACAAACTGTCAATAGCGTGAGCGACACCGAATGGTACAGCCTGCTGCCGCTGTGAGCGAACTGATTTTCGACTATCAAAATTAACTAATTCCTTTGTCAGAAATAAAAACTAGGTTCTTTGAAATACTTTCATCTGCTAAAGTGAAAATTCACGAATAGAATAAAAAAAATTGTACATAGAGAAGTGTCCCTAATTTGGGCCCATACATAAATTCAGCAATCGACTAAATTTTCAATAGCAAACAAAAATATCCATTAGCACCGTCTCAATCTAGATACAATTGACAAATAGCAGATTTTTAGCGATGGGCCCAATCTTAGATCCATAGGCCAACATTAGAGCCATTTCCCCTATTTTGATTTGATCAGAACAACAAGATTTCGTCTGGTTCGATTCCAAATGCACCTGGAGATCCCACATTGAGTATCTGAGACGAAAATGCCAACAAAGGATCAATTTTCTTCGAACAATTACCGGAACGTGGTGGGGAGCCCATCCGCAAGATCTTCTAACGTTGTACTGGACAACGATTTTATCGGTTTTAGAGTACGGTAGTTTTTGCTTCCAGTCGGCGGCTAAAACGCACATCATCAAACTGGAACGGATCCAGTATCGCTGTCTTCGTATCGCGTTAGGATGCATGCACTCGACTCACACGATGAGTCTCGAAGTGTTAGCGGGCATGTTGCCACTCTCTGATCGGTTTTCGGAATTATCCCTCAGGCTCCTCACCCGTTGTGAAATTATGAACCCACTGGTGATTGCAAACTTTGAGAAGCTTCTTGAGCTAAACCCTCAAACTCGTTTTATGACATTGTACTACGTGTACATAACACAGGATGTCAGCCCTTCACAGCATAATCCTCATCGTGTATGCTTCTCCGACTTCGGCAATTCAGTTAGTTTTGATTTATCTATGACGCGGGAGATTCGTGGGATCCCAGAACATCATCGTTCCATGATTGTTCCGTCAATTTACGCTGCAAAGTTTGGCCAAGTTGATTCCGCAAGATCGTTCTTCACAGATGGATCATTAATAGAGGCGTCCGCTGGTTTTGGTATTTATAACGAATTTCATAGCGCCTCTCGAATGCTTCAAGCTCCTTGTTCCGTATATGTTGCTGAGCTAGCGGCAATAAATTATACGCTAGAAACGATCGCCTCACTTGCACCAGATCATTATTTTATTTTTACGGATAGTCTCAGTTCTGTCGAGGCTATTCGCTCTATGAGGCCGGTAAAGCACTCCTCGTATTTTCTCATGAAAATACGAGAGCTTTTAAGTGCTTTATCTTTAAGATCTTTTGTCATCACCTTTGCATGGGTCCCATCTCATTGCTCGATTCCGGGCAATGAGATGGCTGACTCACTTGCTAAGGTGGGCGCTATGGAAGGCGATATTTACGATCGACAAATCGCCTACGATGAATTTTTCTTCATTTATCGTCAACAGTCACTCGTCAGTTGGCAGAATAAGTGGAGTGAAGGGAGTTTGGGACGATGGCTATATTCGATCATCCCTAAGGTGTCGAAGAGTCCTTGGTTCAAGGGGTTGGATGTGGGTCGAGACTTCATTCGTATGATGTCTCACCTCATGTCCAATCACTATTCGTTAAACGCTCACTTGTTCCGTGTTGGGCTGGGGGACAGCAATCTCTGTGAATGTGGACAAGGTTACCAGGACGCAGATCACATTATTTGGTCTTGTGCTGAGCATCGCGGAGTCAGATCTGAACTGTACGATTCCCTTCGGGCTCGAGGTAGACAACCTAATGTTGCAGTTCGGGATATTTTGGCTAGACGCGATCTGGAGTTTATGAAACTCATATATGTTTACTTTAAGAATATTAACATTAGTTTGTAAGTTTTATTAACCTTGTGTTTAGTTTGTATTTTGTACGTGTGGGTTTTTTTTTGTAGATTTGTTTCTGTAATAATTGTATAATTACAGAGTTGATATAACGTCGATAGGATTAAGTATTTGTTTTAGAAATAGTGAAATTTTTGAATCATAAATCATATTCCAAATCTCCTTTTCCCTCTCCCGATCCAAACAATTGTCATCCACTAACCTCGAGAAGACCGCGAGTAATCGGTTCCAATCCTTAAATTTTAGATTTAAGACATTTATAATGTATAAAGAAAATGATAACTTGGCTCTGTAAAGTTTATTCGAATGAGCCTGTACAAATAAAGTAATTAAAAAAAAAAAAAAAAAAAAACAAGATTTCAAGAGAGCAGTGAATACGATTTCAACCCTAACGTCAGGTCTCCAATAAACCTATGTAGAGAAAGCTCTTTTTGAATGAAATTTATCCATCTTTGATATTTTACTGGTCCTAGCAACTTCTTCTTCTTCTTATTTTGGCTTTATAACACCCCCACCGGGACGCCGGCGAACGGTTGGTTCCAATTTCGCTGTCACAAATTTCGTGTTTTCCGCGTGATTTTTGACTTATACCAAGGCAAAAAGAAATTCGTTTAAATTACTATCATGTGTATAAATGAAGATTTCTTATGATTAATATATCAGTGTTGTAATATTGTAAATTATTGTGAAAAATCCCGGGCAATAATTCGGGTTGAATAGTTGTGCTGCTGTAGCGTCCGCTAGCGGTTTGTTCTTCGGTTGGTTTTTCTATTCGCGTGTTTCGGTGCTATGCCTCCACTCCCGGAAGATAAGTTTACCGTGTCTTTTTACGATTTTGATGTTGGCGTTCTGCCCTCCGGACAATAGCCGGGGATACTAGATTTGCAGGTTACAATATTCAAGAAGACATACGAAAAACATCGAAAAGTGATAGAGAAAGAGAGAGAAGAGTATTCCACTGCAGATGCCGATTATTCAACAGGACTCAACGAGAATCGAGATGACAAAGATTCAGCAGCAAGGACACAATACATAAGCGGTGAAATCTAACTGATTACAACTAGATATAAAAATATGAAATGCATCCTACTAAATACGTGCCATCTACAAAGCAGGAATTGCTTTGATGATGAAAGTGTACACGAAGTACCAATATACATTTTATATCGGTAATACGGTTATGCGGGGCTTGTTGGACGTGAGTGACCAGGCATTCTGAAATGGGTTACTGAATCTCAACAGAGCTATCACCTTTCAACTTCCGGGCTAAAATTGTTTGCAATGAATTGGAGGCGAACCAGCCTAAGGCTGAAAGCCTCCTAAATAAAGCTAAATTAATTAATTAATTGTTTGCAATGAGATCAGTATAATACCCCGTTCACATTACAGCCTATATCACGTAATATAGGCTGTCTTGCAATGAGCACTCATACATAGGATTTCCAGTGAAAACTAGATGTATGAGTGCTCATTGCAATACAGCATATATCACGTGATATACGTTGTAATGTGAACGGGGTATAAGATAATAATAGATTATATTGCAAACATTTTTCTTCCATAAAAACACTGCCGGACAGTGGAAGTTGGATTGTGTATACATACATACATACATAACGTCCCCACTGGGACGCCGGTTCCCCAGTAGTTAATTGCAGTGGCGTTTCCTTAACCTCAATCTACCTGTGCACCAACTCTCAAAATACTTTTTTCCTTAATTTGTTTTCCGTCGATCTTGTTTTCCGTGCTGAGCACCAATGCTACCGATGGCAGGGAGGCACCTCCCACACCTAGACCCTTCCTATCGACCCATCAACTCATGAACCGGGGACCAACGGCTTTACTTCCCTTCCGAAGGAAGGCGAGATCAGAGATGTTATGCCTCAGAACATCCCGGCAGCGCCGACTGAGATTGAACCCAGGCCTGCTAAGGTGAGAGGTAATCACGCTTACCACTACACCACCGGCACCGCTAGCTCTCAAAACATAAACAATTATCAAAATATTGCTTGCAATGGATAGATATCGAGTAAACTAGAAGATTTAGTGTATTTTTGAACCGATTCGAGTATGAATATGACATTAAATCTGGTTTTGAAAGTTGGTTCATAGGTAAAAAGTGAGGTTACGGAACGCCACTGGTTAATTGAGAGCTTTCTATGCCTGTACCATTTGTGCATTTGTATTATTCTGTAGCAAGTACAATCAAAGGGAAGTCGAGAAATTTTTCTGCCAGAACCACTGACCTAAGGGAGGCCTTCATTGGCCCCGGAATGATGTCACACTAAGATT